TCAGGTGGAATAGGATTCTGCCCATGGATGTCAGACAAGTGGTGAAATAGCAGAGGGGTTGAGAGTGCTGGGTGTTATCAGTGTACGTGTGGGGAACTGACAGTACCTCTTCTGATGTTGTCTCCAAGAGGAAGCATGAAGATGGGACACAGGAGGTGGTCAATGATAGGTCTCTGGAGGGCACCAGAGGGAGTAATGTGAGTGGAAAGAGAAGGAAAGGCAGACGATTGTCTGGTCGAGATTAGATAGGTAAGCATGGAACATGCTGAGAACAGTCCCACCTCACTGGATGAGGGTGGAGAGGTGCTCGAGAATGATGATGCAGGCAGCCACAGCAAAAGCTGCAATAAGGTCAAGAAGGATGAGGAGGAATGGTTACTGTTGCTGCAGTTGCTTAGATGTTAATTAATTAAATGCAATGACAAACTTATCAATGTAGCGTGGCAAAAACACGTGGGAATTAAAAACACAAAGTGCTGCTTCTGGCTTGCTGTTCGAACTGAATTACAAACTCCGGTCATGGTGAATGGGTGGGGTGGGGCTGGGCAGAGGTCCAGGGGGTTGGTGGTGGTTATTTTAAACTAGCTGTAGCACAAAACCCTATGGGTTTGAGTGGTAGGTCAATTTACACCTGCTCAATATTATTCATCATTGATTTCAGTACAGCATAAAATTGTACAGTGGGAAACCAGCATTACATCAGTGGGGCTCTATCCCCATCTGTCGTTTATTCCTTAACCCCTCCCCCCACCCTATCTTCTGCAAATAAACCAATATTTTCCCAGATACCATCAGTCATGAGGAAGAGTCACCCGACTGGAGGGGGTGCCAAGGAGGTTCACGAGGTTGATTCCAGAGTTGAGGGGGCTGGCTTATGAGGAGAGACTGAGTAGATTGGGATTATATTCATTGGAATTCAGAAGATTGAGGGGGGATCGTATAGAAACGTATAAAATTATGAAGGGTATAGATAAGATAGAAGTAGAGAGGATGTTTCCACTGGCAGGTGAAGCTAGGACAAGAGGGCATAGCCTCAAGATTAGAGGGAGCAGATTTAGGACTGAATTGAGAAGGAACTTCTTCACCCAGAGGGTTATTAATCTATGGAATTCCTTGCCCAGTGAAGTAGTTGACGCTACTTCAGTGAAAGTTTTTAAAGATAAGGTGGATATTTTTTTGAACAATAAAGGAATTAAGGGATACGGTGAGAACGCGGGTAAGTGGATCTGAGTCCATGAAAAGATCAGCCATGATCTTATTGAATGGCGGAGCAGGCTCGAAGGGCCGGACAGCCTACTCCTGCTCCTAGTTCTTATGTTGTTATGAAACGTTAACTCTGATTTCTCTTCACAGATGCTGCCAGACCTGCTAAGCTTTTCTGGCAATTTCTGTTTTTGTTTCTGATTTACAGCATCTGCAGTTTTTTGGGTTCTTATTACACCAATCCCATCGGTCTCTCGACAGGCAATGATGTACATTGATTCCTCATTTACTTTAAACAGCTGTGATAAGTGATATCATTTTGTGACAAAGACTGCTTAATGTCCTCAGAAAGTAAAACCTCTTGAAACCAGCTCAACAGTCAACATGAGAATGTAATAATGAAGATTGAGGGAGTGTCATATGCTCAAGTTCTCTGTGCTTTTTAGTTTAAAGATTTCAACAAATTGCACAGCGGTTAATTTTGACTTTGTGTGATAGTGTACAACAGATTATCACAAATCAACAGTTCCTTTGAAATCTCTTTCGCATCATTTAATAAGTAGCTAAAAGCAGGGGTCTGTCCTCTGCAAGAAAACAGAACCTGACCAGGCATTCTGTCTTTTTCTTATTTATTCATGGGATGAGGATGTGTTGGTTAGTCCAGAATTTGGTCAGAAGGTAGTTAGGAGGCCACCACATTGCTGTGGGTCTGGAGTCACATGTAGGTCAGACTAGACCAAGTTTCTCCCCCTAAAGGACATTAGCGAACCAGATGTACCTTCATGACAATCGGCAAGGGATACATCCTCATCATTATGCTTGTAATTCCAGATATTTTGTTCAATTCAAATTTCACAATCTGCTGTGGCAGGATTTGAAGCCAGGTCTCCAGAACGTTAGAGACAACAAGGTGCAGGGCTGGATGAACACAGCAGGCCAAGCGGAGACAATGGGTCGACCAGGGCATTCAGGTTTGTGGATTTTGGGAAGGAGATAGAAGCGGGCAGTGCGAGGTTGGGGAACGATGAGGTTGGAGGCCGTGGGTGGGAGGTCACCTGAGGTGATGAGGTTGTGGATGGTTTGCGAGATGATGGTTTGGTGCTCAGGGGTGGGGTCATGATCAAGGGGGCGGTAGGAGGAGGTGTCGGAGAGTTGGCGTCCGGCCTCGGCGATGTAGAGGTCAGTGCGCCATACTACAACTGCACCTCCCTTGTCCGCGGGTTTTATGGTGAGGTTGGGATTGGAGCGGAGGGAGCGGAGGGCTGCACGTTCTGCGGGGGAGAGGTTGGAGTGGGTGAGAGGGGTGGAGAGGTTGAGGCGATTGATGTCTCGACGGCAGTTGGAGATGAAGAGGTCGAGGGAGGGTAGGAGGCCTTGGGGTGGTGTCCAGGAGGAGGGGGTGTGTTGGAAGCGGGAGAAGGGGTCAGTAGAGGGAGGGTTAGGTTCACAGTTAAAGAAGTAAGCGTGGAGGCGGAGGCGGCGGAAAAACTGCTCTATGTCCAAGCGTGAGCGGTATTCGTTGATCTGTGGGTGGAGGGGGACAAAGGTGAGCCCTTTACTGAGGACTGACCGTTCGTCCTCAGTAAGGGGTAGGTCTGGGGGGATGGTGAACACTCGGCAGGGCTGGGTGCTGCTGTCTCCTCTGGAGCTGCTGGCTGTGGAGGTGGTGGGCGGAGCTACGTCGGCGTCGGCTGTGGGCGGAGCTGTGTCGGCGTCGGCTGTGGGCGGAGCTGTGTCGGCGTCGGCTGTGGGCGGAGCGTCGTCGGCGGTGGGCGGAGTTGTGCCGGTGTCGGCGGTGGGCGGAGTTGTGCCGGCGGTGGGTGGAGTTGCGTCCGCGTCGGTGATGGGCGGACCGGCGTCGGAGGTAGGAGGAACGGGGTAGGCGGCGGCAGTAGCGGTGAGGGTGGTCGCGACTTCAGTGTCGGTGGCAACGGCAGCGATGGTGCTTGCTGTCCCGGAAGTGGGGAACCCGGCGGTGGCGGATGTGACGTCCGACACTTCCACCATCTGCAATCCGACCCCACCACCAAAGACATCTTTCCCTCCCCACCTTTATCTGCTTTCCGGAGGGACAACTCTCTCCGTGACTCCCTTGTCCGCTCCACACTCCCCTCCAGCTCCACCACACCCGGCACTTTTCCCTGCAACCGCAGGAAGTGCTACACCTGCCCCCATACCTCCTCCCTCACCCCCATCCCAGGCCCCAAGAAGACTTTCCACATCAAGCAGATGTTCACCTGCACATCTGCCAATGTGGTATACTGCATCCGCTGTACCCGGTGTGGCTTCCTCTACATCGGGGAAACCAAGCGGAGACTCGGGGACCGCTTTGCAGAACACTTACGCTCGGTTCGCAACAAACAACTGCACCTCCCAGTCGCGAACCATTTCAACTCCCCCTCCCATTCCTCAGACGACATGTCCATCCTGGGCCTCCTGCAGTGCCACAACGATGCCACCCGAAGGTTGCAGGAACAGCAACTCATATTCCGCTTGGGAACCCTGCAACCCAATGGTATCAATGTGGATTTCACAAGTTTCAAAATCTCCCCTCCCCCCACCGCATCCCAAAACCAGTCCAACTCGTCCCTGCCTCCCTAACCTGTTCTTCCTCCCACCTATCCCCTCCTCCCACCCCAAGCCGCACCTCCATCTCCTACCGACCAACCTCATCCCACCCCCTTGACCTGTCCGTCCTCCCTGGACTGACCTATCCCCTTCCTAACTCCCTACCTACACTC